ACTCTTTCCTGCCCAGGCCAGGGGGTTGGACTCAATGATCTACTGAGATCCCCTCTGACCCTAACAACTATGAAACTATAAAACAATTGTAAGGAACTGCTAAGCTTCTTTATAGAAGCAGGTAATGGAAACAGCAGAAGCAGCACCCAGAACACTGGCAGAAGATGAGGCTGGAGTAGAAATGGTGTAGTGTGGGTTAGGGGCTTCCCTGGGGACAGATATAGCAAATGTAGAGCCTGGGGCACTGGTTGAACTGGAACTGCACTTGTGCCTAATGTTAGTGGGAAAACAGTAGAAAGACAAGAGAAGTGGAGAGAGAAGACAGCAGAGTCAGATGACCCCAGCTAGGCGCTTGTCCAGTCTCCTCTTAAAAGACCCCCAAGGTAGGGGAGCGCACCACCTTTCTTGAAAGCCCATTCCAGTCAGACAGCCCTATTTTATGGAAAACTGAAAAGCATGTGGTTATATCAGGTTCACTCCTCACTACAGAGTAATTACCTTACAGAGACAGGGGTTGTACACTGGTAAACACCACAGCAGACTCCATCAGTCGTTTGCTTGCTTCCTTAAACCTTTACTTAAAGAAAGATGCATTTGGTATCATTTCTTTAACAGTACATCTCAGTACTAGTATGATTTTACGGGCAGGGGACTGGAATATGTTACAGGTTCTCAAAACACCTTTTTTGATGTACGAGTGAAGTGCGCCATGAATTTTAATCCAGAAAAAAGTGTGTCCTTTGCATCAAAAGACAGGAAACATGTGGAATCAGAAAAAATATATGCCTTAAACTTTGACTATTTTAGTTATAAGATGACATAACCACTTTGTGGAGAATTGCTGGCTCTGTATAGTAGAACAGATAAGGAAAAGTGTTTTTTCTTTGTAACTCCTCTGCAACTGCTTCGCTCACCGCGGCCTTGAAGATAGCAAAAAGTATGTACAACTCTGATTTGCAGGTGCAAGAAGGAGGTTTGTGAACTAACCTCGCCTCCCCCATTAGTTCCCATCCTGATTACAGCAAAAAAATAATGAAGTAATATTATAGCCGCTTTTCATGCTAATTTCACTATATGATCACGTGAGTTATAAGCAACTGTTAAAAAATATATAAGCCTCCTGATTTTGCTCTTGGGGGGGGACCCCTTCCAAGTGCTTGGGAGATCCATGTCACTTTAAAATCCCCCCCTACAGCTGTAGTTTCTTTTGAATAAAAGCTTCTGCTGACCTGACCCAAAAGTATGCTGCGTGTGTTTCCACGACAAACACTAGCTTAGAAGGTTATGAGCATCCCTTATGTTATTCTCATTTCTTCTCTCTGCAGTTTCTCTAGTTCTGTAGTATTAGTTTTGAGCTTGGGCAACCAGTCTTGTACACCATTCCCAGATGAGATATCATCCCTAATTTGTATAAAACAGGGGTGTCAAAGATCTGGCCTGGGTCCAGAGTTGACCCACATGCTGCATGCATACACTGACTTCCGGATCCCTCTCTTGGGTTGATACAGTAAATTCAGAACCCTGGGAGGGTTTTTACCCATCCAATGTGCACTGCATATATTTATCAATACCAAACTTCCTTCACTATCACACCACTCATATCCCCAGTGGATGTCTCCACAGCTCCTTCCAGCCTCCTGGTGTCCTGATGAACCTAGATAACTCTGCCTCATCTGCAGAGGTTGCTACTTAATTGCTCCTGCTCCTTTCAATATAATCTGTAAATACACTGACCACCGCTTAGAGTGGCAGGTTAGACTAATGCTATTTGCCTGCTGCATGAGGCAGAGAGTAGTACATCTCAAATATTAGCTTGACATTCAGACAGCCACAAATCATCACTAAGCAAAGTAATACATTAATATATAAAAAAATTAAACAGATGAATAAAATATAACTTGTAATATTCCAAGTGCTGTTTGTAAGTGCTCTTGCTTGTTTCCAGCAATGAACTCTGCAATTTACATT